CATGATCCCATTAACGATAGCCAAATGGCGGCCGCTTTAAGGCCGAAAATGCATTGAAATCGCACATTTTCACCATTCCGAACCCGGATCTCAGTTATGCATGGACGGATTTCGTTCAAATTTGGTACTTACATTAAACATAATAGGACCTTGATGCACGTCATTTTTTTTTCCGGATCAAGTCGAAATGGCCGACTTGCTGCCATTTTCTTTAAAGAATTCAGTTCTGGATCCGTATCCGAGACATGTCTGGATTGATCAAGTTCAAACTTCACACACACATGGTGCATCATGTCACAAATAGATATGTGCATTTGTTTCATGATCCGCTTAACAATAGCTGAATGATGGCCATTTTAAGACCGAAAATGCATTAAAATCACGTATTTTCACAATTCCGGAACCAGATCTCAGTCGTGCATGGATGGATTTTGTTCAGATTTAGTACAATGTGTTGTACATATGCAGGTGCATTTCGGTCATGATCTGCTTTGAATGTATATGTCACTCAAATATGAACGGAACGGGGACATGTCATTGACAATGACTTGTTATAATACTAGTTTAAAAACGCACTTCAGAGATTGCAGTGTTTGAAGATGTAGTTTCTCAGGAGGCAACAGTACTGTTGACTTCTCCCTCCACTGAACACCAACTATTTAAGTTGATTTGCATACAAAGCAGAGCTTGCAACATGATAGCTATTCATTCATAAAGGGTGTTTTTTTTACTTTTCATATAATACAGTAGTCAATATTTGTCTCAGTGAATCATTAATTTTTGACAGACACCTGTACAAAATACTTGAACTAAAGCCAGCTAAATTTTTCTGTTATCTTGCATGTTTTATGAATCTATTCACATCTAAATGCAGCACTTTTTTTTTGCAATGAGACATTTGTTTTTATTCTAAAATATCTCAATTACTTTCAATAAAGCTGGAAATTATGTTCCTTAAAATAATTAAACAAATAAGGCACCAATGTTTTTGTAAGATATTTACATCTTTTAAGGACATTCGGTAGACTGATTCCCCACTGTTGGTTCAACCCCAAAACTTGTTTGTATTCAAAATTAATTATGACAATGCATATTTATATTGAAACAAACTATGATAAAGGGAATTACATTATATTTATGCTTGTTATGTTGAGCACTTGGGTTAAAATTCCTTTCTTGTATATTCGTATACAAGAAAGGGGTTTTAAACCGAGTACATTGTACAAATGTAGTATGTGACATGTTTGTTGTATGATTCGGTATTCCAGGAATACAGGTTGAAAGTTAAAGAATCTGAAAATCAGAGGAGATCACTACAGCAACAACTACAGAGTTCAGAGTCGCAGAAAAAAACATTGCTTGACAAATGTGATTTGATGCAGGTATTTATGATCTTAGTCAGTAATTTTTAGTTAGTGGGCTATTTATTTAGACCCTGATGAAAGGTATTCATGTTTGTGGCTATCATGTGCATCCATTAAAACTGTGCGCATCAGAGCTTTAATGAAAAATCAAAATAAAATTGCTTAAAATCATTTTAATATTTTCAGCAACAAGCTTTAGGTTATCAAGATCAGCTGACAAAAAGAAGGCAGATTTTAGATAATACGGAAATGAATTTCCGATCTCAGCTTGCGCAAGCTGAAGGACAGTTAACCCGAAACCAAGAAACTATTCAGGTAAATTAAATTTAATAACAGTCTTGTTTAAAACAGGTTTTATGTTTCTAAGAAGTTCCCTCTTGTTTTGCTTGATCTAGAATTGTGTATGGGCTAAAGATATGCATGAATTTTCACGTTAAGTCATATCTAAAACCCACTTTGATGTTTCATCTTACTGAAAGAGAAAATTGACACCATTGTTTTCTCTCCAGCATAAAGAGTCTATGCTGCAAAAAATGAAGACTTCCGTAGAGGAGACACTGGCCAGCAACAAACAATTAACAGAAGAGCACAACAGATTAATAGAAGAGCTGCAAGCAGCACAGAGGAGGACTAGGGTGAGTTGTACATGTTTAATAGTGAAACCAATCATAGTATAATTTTTAACTCTGAATGGAGAGTTTTAAAAATAACCCATCCACACTTTGGATGGACACACAGATTAGGTGGTGTACAGTAAAAACTGCAGTATACTTATGCCATGAGGGAACATTTACATTTTCTTATTGTCATTGACAGAGGATAGAAGATGAACTCTCTCAGGTACAAGTTGAACTGCAATCTAGAGATGATTTATTACGAATAGCAGATCAAGAACAACGACAAAAAGCTAAGGAGATAATACAGTTGGAAGAGAGATTGAATGTGAAGAGTGGGATGATCAGGTAATTGGTTAGGTCGTCCTTTCAAACTAAAGTTTGGGCAAGGAAATTGGGAAATTATCTACCATCATGTGATATGTTTACATGTGTATAGCATGTTTTTCACATTCCCATTGCACTGTCAACTGAAACCATTTTTAGTTTTACCTACAAGTGCATGTACATGTATATGAATTACCATTTTTTGAGACTTTCAATGTTTGTGCTTTCAATGTTAGTGTAGCATTTGAAGTATTAATGGCATACTAATTAAATCTTCAGTGTTATTACATCATCTATGTAATTTGATGGTACATTGAAAATTGTGCTAGTTCAACAAAGCTGTGCTTCCTAGTGCTCTCACAGTGCAAAGTACAAGCGCCTACGCACTCACTAAATCAAAGAAGTGTTTTATCTCATGAAATTACACTGGTGTGCTATTGCATTATTTATAAGTAATGCCCCATTGTTGTATTTCAGGGTCATGGAGCAGGGAAAGCAGCAAGAGAATGATATTGAACTTTCACATGTTAAACAACAGCTGGTGGATTTAGAGGCAGACAACAGATCATTAAGAAAAAATGAACAGAAGATACTTGAGAACAACAGCCGATTGCAGGCTAAGTAAGTTTATAGTAGATTTTCGTTGCTCGGAAAGACCCAAGAAAAATTTGAAAACTATCCAATGTTCTAGCTGTTCTACAAATAAATGATATCAGGCAAAAGCTTCCTAATTAAGTATTTAGAATCAAAGCCTAATTGTTGTACAGTGCTTTTAAATTGCAAACTTAACTGCAAAATCAAATCGTAATATGCATACATGAACAACATGGAAGCAAATGCTCCTGCGGCATATTAAATGTCTCAAACTGCTGCTACACCTATACTATGATATTAATTGAAAATGTTTTATCTTAATTACAGGCTCGATATGACACAGCGAGAATGTGCTGATCTCAACATGCAACTAGCAAGGAAAATTGATGTTATTAGAAACTTAGAAGTCACTGAAATTAAAAAACTCAACACTGATTTAAATAAGGTAGTGTAAATCTGAGGTTTAATGCAATAAATTTCATAATAGATTCTTCCAACAACACACTTCATAACATACAAAAATACAGTTTTGCACAACCTTATCAGTATTTTTACATTCATATTTTTTATTTACCTCATTAGAGTCGCGCATTTATCACATTTCCATAATACTTGCATCACATATTTGCCATCACTACTTTAAGGTAGAGATGCAGTTTATTTGGCTTGCTTTTTAATTGAGTAATTAGACAATGAAGATGGTATTATCTATCCAACATGTTATATATTTTCTGAAAGCTTATTATACAAACTTTGTAAAACTTGTCTTTATTTTAAATATCCAGAATGCGTTTTTGATTTTGGGTCAAAAATATGCTTTTTTGAACAAAAGTGGTTTAAAAAAAATTAGCTTAAAAACTTCAAGTCCGTTTGTGGGTAAAATTACATCACTGGATACCTTGGTATACTACTAATTCAAATGCGTCCACTCATCTCTCTAACGGCTTTCAAAGTCGCACAGCATGA